TAGGATAATCTGTTTCCTTGCCTTTTCAACTTGCATCCCTTGGCTGTGGGCCCCCTTCGATCTGCAAACCCAGCAATTACACCACTCCAACTTCTGCTTCTGTCATCTCATGCCCTCTGATTCCTACTCTCCTGCCTCCCTCTTTCACTAATAATGACCCTTGTGATTATGTTGGGCCCCTCTGAGGAATCCAGCATAATCTCTCCATCTCAAGATCAGCTGATTCTGGCCAGGTGCGGTGGCTCACGCCTCTAATCCCAGCATTTTGGGGGGCCAAGGTGGGTGGATCATTTGAGGTCAGGAGTTCAGGACCAGCGAGGCCAACACGGTGAAACCCCATCTCTACTAAAAATACAAAAATTAGCCAGGCATGGTGGTGGGCACCTGTAATCCAAGCTACTCGTGAGGCTGAGGCAGGAGAATAGCTTGAACCCAGGAGGCAGAGGTTGCAGTGAGCCGAGATTAGCAACTATAATTCCATCTGCAGCTTTAATTCCCCTTTGCCATGTAACATAACATTCACAGTTTCAAGGAAACAGAGTGTAAACACCTTTGGGGGGGACCGTTATTTTGTCTACCACAGTAATCCACTAAAGGGCTTTAAGCAAGGGAATGACAGGGTGAGACCCATATTTTAGCATCTTCCTATTATTGGTTTTGTAAAATGGTCATTTCATGATTTAAGACAGATTGGGCTTTGTATTAACTAATAATTCCAAAGGCTGAACAGTACATAGATATTAAATGTGTTAGATCTAATAACACATACGGGCTTTTAACTTAAAAGAATTATTTCCTACATGTAATTTGTGTCTTCCCCCTTAACACTCAGTGGGAGTACAAAGGACTGTTATAATTGCCCCTCTATGGGTAAATTAAGAGACATTGGCTCACCTGCCTAGGATCGCAGAGCTAAGGCCAGGGCCATGGTAAGGAGCTAGTCTTCAAGCTCGTTTATCAGTTTCCTTCCTTCCTTGCTTCCTTGCTTCCTTCCTTCCTTCCTTCCTTTCTTTCTTTCTTTCTCTCTTTCCTTCCCCTTCCTTCCTTCCTTTCTTGGTTTCTTTCTTTCTTTCCTTCTTTCTTTCTTTCTCTCTCTCTCTTTCCTTCCTCTTCCTTCCTTCCTTCCTTTCTTTCTTTCTTTCTCTCTTTCCTTCCCCTTCCTTCCTTCCTTCCTTTCTTGGTTTCTTTCTTTCTTTTTCTTTCTTTCTTTCTTTCTTTTCTTCTTTCTTTCTCTCTCTCTCTCTTTCCTTCCTCTTCCTTCCTTCCTTCCTTCCTTTCGTCTTTCTTTCTTTCTTTCTTTCTTCTCTCCTTTTTTTTTTTTTTGACAGGGTCTCTTCTGTCATCCAGGCTGAAGTGCAGTGCTGTGATCATAGGTCACTGCAGCCTCAACCTCAAGCAATCCTCCCACCTCAGCCTCCCAGGTAACTGGGACTACAGGTTCGTGCCACCACACCCAGGTAATTTTTTGTTTTAGTTTGCTTGTTCGTGGAGACAAAATTTCGCCATGTTGCCCAGGCTGGTCTCCAACTCCTGGGCTCAAGCGATTTTCCCACTTCAGCCTCCCAAAGTGCTGGGATTACAGTCTTGAGCCACCACGCCCAGCATCAGCATTTCTTTACACCATCCATGGGTCGGGCATTTGGGGAAACTTAAGTCAGCACATCTTTGACACAATTTTCTACATATAGCTCAGTGCCCAATAAACATGTGTTGAATTGGTGAAGACCCCTGCTTTCATTTCTGTGACACAGATAGTAACTTTCAAGGCAGGAAGCCTTGGGGCCATCCTAATATTCCTTCCTTCCCCCTACATCCAATCAATCTGCAAGTCCTTTCAGCTGCCCTGCCAAAATATTCATATATGCTGAGTCCATCCCCTTCTTTCCAGCTTCTCGGGTCCCACTCTGTCCCAGGGCACTGTCACCTCTTACTTGAGCTGCTGCAGTGGCCCCCACAAAGGAAAGGGTCAGTGAGGGGTCAAAGTATTTGACTTAAATAAATCAGATGACCTGGCCTCCCAGATTAAATTTTCCTGTTGGGTTTTTATCAGACAGAAGAGAAGAAAAACTGGCCAGGCCCGGTGGCTCACACCCGTAATCCCAGCACTTTGGGAGGCCGAGGCGGGCAGATCACCTGAGGTCAGGAGTTTGAGACCAGCCTCAACATGGAGAAACCCCATCCTACTAAAAATACAAAATTAGCTGGGCGTGGTGGTACACACCTGTAATCCCAGCTACTTGGGAGGCTGAGGCAGGAGAATTGCTTGAACCCAGGAGGTGGAGGTTGCAGTGAGCCAAGATCGCGCCATCGCACTCCAGTCTGGGCAACAAGAGCGAAACTCCGTCTTAAAAAAAAAAAAAAAAAGAAGAAGAAGAAGAAGAAAAGAAAAACTTTAACTCCCAATCATGGCCATATGTGGTTTTGCATGCTCTGGCCCCCAACCGTCCTCTTAACACCTCCTGTAGCTCCCTCTACTGCAGTCCCACTGGCTTTTTACAGAGGCCAAGCTACTCCCATCATAGGGCTTTTGCCCATGCTGTTCCTTCTGCTGGAAATACTCTCTCCACTCTTTTTCTTTTTTGTGTGCGTAATTTTTTACTTTTTGAGACAAGGTCTCGCTCTGTCACCCATTCTTGAGTGCAGTGGTGTGATCATGGCTTGCTGCAATCTCGACTGCCTGGGCTCAAGTGATCCTCCCACTTCAGCTTCCTGAGTAGCTGGGACTACAGGTCCCGGCTAATTTTTTTGTTTTTGTTTTGTAAAAACAGGCTCTCCCTATGTTTCTCAGGCTGGTCTCAAACTCCTGGGCTCACACAGTCCTCCTGCCTTGGCCTCCCAAAGTTCTGGGATTACAGATGTGAGCCATCATACCCAGCCAAATTTCTTTTAGAGGTGAGGTTTTAGTATGTTGCGTAAGCTGGTCTCAAACTCCTGGGCTCAAGTAATCCTCCCGCCTCAGTATCCCCATGTGTTGGGATTACAGGCATGAGCCACCGCACCTGGCTTTCCGCTCTTTAAACAGCTGGGTTCTTCTTATACGTCACCTCTCAGCTCAAATGCCACTTATTCAGAGAGGTTCTCCATGTCCGCTTTGTTTCCTTCGTAGAAAACTGGGACCATTTGTAAATAATTTGTCTCTTTGCTTACTTTGTTTGCCTTCCCTTCTAGATCTGCGATGTCTAATATGTAGCTACTAGCTGCATATGACTAGTAAGCGTTTGGAATGTGACTTGTCTGAATTGAGACTTGCTGTAAATGTAAAAGACAGCAGATTTTGAAGAGTTAATACAATTTAAAAAGGATATAAAATATCTCATTTATAGTTTTAGAATACTGACTATATGTTGAAATGGTATTTTGGATATATTGGGTTAAATAAAAATATTATCAACAATTAACTTGTTTCTGCTTTTTAAATGTGGCTGTACATGTGGCTGGCATTATACTTCATTTGGACAATGCTGGTCTAGACCGTTAGCTAATGAAGGTAGGAACAATCTCTACCCACTGCTGTGTCCCTAGTCTCTATCATATACTAGATGCTCAGTAAGTATTTACTGAATAATTTGGTATTTATGAGAACTCTGGGCTTTTATGAGAGCTGAGACAGGCAGTCCCATGTATGCTATGAACTTGAGGGAGGAAGAAACAGGAAAGAAACAGTTTTATTTTTCTCCAATCACTGTATTTCAAAGGGCTCTGTGGATTCTCTCTGTCCTGCTCTCTATCCACAATCCCCAGTCACCTACTACTATAGATTGAGGGGTGGGGGTGATGGCTGGAGGAACAAAGCTGGTGCAGCTGCTTCTATTTCAGTCCTATAGGAAGTGTCTTGATTATTTTACTTTCTCCAGCTTTGGTCCTGGGAGCCGGAAGGGCTCACCTCAACATCCTTAGATACACAGATAGGGTTAGCTGGGGCTCATGGGAACTTTCCCAGGGTCATCTAGCAGGTCAGAGGTGAACAGGGCCTCAAACCTTGGTCTCCAGACCCCTTCCAGGACCCTGACCTCTAGCTATTAATACATCCTGATGTAGTCTCCTTTAGACTGGAACCCTCCCTGAAACCCCTCTCCCAACATTCACCTGTGATTTCTTGGGGCACCTAATGGCAGTTGTGCCTGGTCCCAGAGCTTACCTAGATGGCACCATCCCTCCCAGGGGCCGAAATGGGTAGAAGGAAGGAAGGAGAGGGTGGATGTATGGATGGGAAGATGGACGGGTGAATGAGTGAACAAGAGGGTGGGAGAATGGATGGGAAAGGAGGATGGCTGGTTGGTAGGGTGTCTGCACGGGTGGAGGGGATGTATCGGAAGGAATTACCCACTTATCACGTTCCAAGCAGACTCTGAAGAGCAGAGAGCCGTTGGCGATCAAAGTCCAGCCCCGTCACGTTTCTGCTGGAAGCCGCGGCGGGAGAAGTTGGGTGCTTTGCCCCGGGGCCCGCAGGGAGGTCCAGGCAGAGCCGGAAGGGGGACGGGAGTTTGTGGACCGGCCGGGGGGCTCTAGACGACATCCCCCCATCAGCCTGCGCCTGCCGGTGCCAGGGTGGGGTAGCGCCCCCGCCCCCACCTCCGGAGGTGGCGGCCCCACGCGGCCCCAACAAACTGCCGTTGTCCCGCGGGCCGTGGGCCCGGCACACTGGGGCTTTGTCCGGCCCCCCGCCGCGACCCGAGGGGGGGCCCCACATGACCGAAGGGGTAGGAGGAGCCTGTGGCGGCGGCGGCGGCAGCGGCGGCTCCACCACCATTTCCCTCCCGGGCCGGGGGTCGGCGGGCGGTGGCAGTGGCTGGGCAGGGCTGGGCAGGGCCGAGGACGCCAGGCCCCCCGTTCCCCGCCAGGCTGCAGGCGCCGGGCCTGGGACGTCAGGGCAGCTGTGACCGGATCGCTTTCCGGGCGACGAGCTGGGGGTGCGCTCGGACCGCCGCCCCCGGGATCATGGGCAATGGCATGACCAAGGTAGGGGGCGGGCCCCGCGCAGCCTCCCCGGCCCCCGCCCCGGCCGCCGCGGCCCGGCGCTGACCAGCTCCGTCCGCCCGCCTCTGACCTTCTGGTCTCGCCGGTCTCTGTGCGGCGGCATCTCCGTGTTCCTGTGGCTTGAGACCGCGGCTGTCGGGTCTCTCCTTCTCTGACCCTGCGTCTCTGTCCCCGCTGTGTCCGCCCTCTCTCCTAGACTCTGTGTCTCTCGCTGTGTCTTGTTTTGGCTGTCACTCCCGGGCTGTCTCCCAGTGAGTCCGGCTCTCCGTCTGCATGTGTCCCTCTCCCTTGTCGCTGACTCCCCTGCTGTCTCCGGAGCTGTTTCTCCATCCTGTCCCGCCTCTGCATGTCCCTGCCTTTCTGCCTCCCCAGCCCCAAAATCTCCATCCCGGCACCCTGCAAGTCCACCTCTCTCCTCTCCTCCTAAGACCTGCCCTCCTCCTCTCCCCTCTTATACCCAAGCTGGCCTCCCTTGGTTCCCTCGGTTGGTTAACTGGCCCCCTCGCCTACCCTCCCCAGAGCCCCAGACCCCTCTCACAGAGGACCCAGGGCCCACAAAAGGGAAGCGAGTGCTCCCTGAGCCCTGAGGTTCATACCCTTCATAGGACAGTGAGGGGCTGTGGGCCCCCCAGCTGCCCTGGGGGTGGAAGGGGGTGCCTCTGCCCCACTGACCCCTGCCTGTCCTTCCTCTAGGTACTTCCCGGACTCTACCTCGGAAACTTCATTGGTGAGCACTGCCCACTCTGTCCCGAGGCCATGGCACTCTGCCCGTCTCAGGCCTGTGTCCACCATTCATGCCCTGGCCCATGTATCTCAGGAATGGGGTTGGGGGTAGGGAAGCGGCTGCAGGCTGGGAGGAGGAAAAAGCTGATGAAGGACAAGGGGTGCATGTGCAGGTGAATGTCCCCAGGCTCGAAGAGACATGGAGGGAGCATGGGGGCCTGACGTTGACATCCCTCCCCGCCATTCAGCCTTACCCAGTGTTCTACCACAAGACCAAAGGAACAGAGCAAAGGGCTCGGGCCTTGGGCTGTGGACCTGAGCAAGTCTACACCCGCACTAAGCCTCAGCCTCCTCCTCAGCACAAAAGGTCTACCAGCTGCTGAGGGCTCTTCTGACCCTGAGGTTCTGGGTTGAAGTCTGTTTAGGGGTGCTGCTTCCAGCGGGGAAGCTGGGAACTCTTCCCCTCTTAACTTCCTCCTTGTCAGAGGAGAGGTCTCTGGAGACGGGCTGGGCCCTCTTGTGAGCAGGGTCATGAGCACCAATCCCGTCACACCCCAGAGCCCTGAAGCAGGTGGGCAGCCTGGAGCTGGAAGTTGGCGGGGGTGAACTGGCAAGCTTTACATTCCCCACTCTCTCATCCATTCCTTCCGCAATCTTCAGTCAGGAGGAGGGGACACCCATGTATAGATACGTTGTTCCTCAGTGGCTTCCAGGCTGGTGGCTGGCAGGCACAGCTGAACATAGACCTTGGGTAGAAAACATGCTTGGTAGAAAACATGCTAAGGGGGCCGGGCACAGTGGCTCGCACCTTTAATCCCAGCACTTTGGGAGGCGGAGGTGGGCAGACCACCTGAGGTCAGGAGTTTGAGACCAGCTTGGCCAACATGGTGAAACCCCGTCTCTACTAAAAATACAAAAATCAGCCAGGCATGGTGGTGGGCACCTGTAATCCCAGCTACTCGGGAGGCTGAGGCAGGAGAATCGTTTGAACCCAGGAGGCGGGGGTTGCAGTGAGCCGAGATCGTGCCACTGCACTCCAGCCTGGGCGACAGAGCGAGACTCTGTCTCAAAAAAAAAGAAAAAAGAAAAGGAAAACATGCTAAGGGGCAGACTGGTCCAGGGCTTGGGTGACCCGAGGTGAGAAAATCATTTCCATCTGCAGAGTCAGAGAAAGCTTCAGAGAGGGAGGGGCTCAGATGCTTTACCCTCGTAAATTCTGGTCCCTTCCTTCCTGGGAGCTCCCTCAGCTGCTCATGCCACATTGATTTTTGTGAGTATTTGGCCAAGTAAGGTCTGAATCCTCTGTAAGTGTGCAGGCCCCATAAGGGCAGGAGCTACGAAGCTGGCCCCAGACCTCCAGTGCCCAGCCAAAGTATGCAAATGATTAGCACTCGGTAAATGCTCATCGAATGAGGAAATGGAGACAGAGGGGACATGTGTTATTTATTCTGAATATAAAAGGTCTGCATATGCTGGGTATGCAGCCCCTAGAGAGGGCCACTGTCGGGTACATCCCTTGTTCATATATCTTTGTAGATAAAGGCATAATATTTAAAATAAAAGTGGAAGCTTATTCTGTATCCTTAAAAATACATTGTGGGCATCATTGCACATCAACATATTAACTCTTTTTAATGGCTGCATGCTGTGCCAAAATATGCCTACACCATTAATCGTACAGTCCCTTTTTAATGAACACTAGGTTGTTCCCATGTTTAAACTATTTGTGATATAAGCAGGACTGCAGAGAACATCATCCTCCACACACGGCTTTCTGTGTGAGCAAGTGCTTCCGTAGACAAGATTCCTAGAAGTAGAATTGCTGGGTCAAAGAATATGCCTGGGAAGGGTATTTTGGATGAAAAGAACAGCATGAGCAAGGATGGAGAGATGCTGGACTGTTATTTGCATGTGCCTCAGAAGCAAGAGGATCAGGGAGCCAGCAGAGGGTGGGCCAAGGTGGAGTGGTGGGGTGAGGGGGAGAGCTGGGCAGGCAGTGAGCTCCCTCCGCACTTGGCCATCAGGGACAAATAAGTTACGCCAGCCAGATTGGCTCAAACATCCTGTTTCTTTCAGATGCCAAAGACCTGGATCAGCTGGGCCGGAATAAGATCACACACATCATCTCTATCCATGAGTCACCCCAGCCTCTGCTGCAGGTACTTCTTACCCCCATCCCAGGGCTATGCAGGGTGGGAGGGTGCAGACCCGTTTATCAAATATCTACTATGTGCTAGGTGCTATGCTTCCTTCTTGACTCATGTTAACTCATTTGGTCTCACCACTGGGCCATTTTACATTATCATCCCTATTTGGCAGCTGACGCCCCGAGAGGTCAATTATCTCACCTAAGGTCACATATCCAGGAAGCTGAGGAGTTGGGGTACAAACACAGGCCATCTAGCACCAAAGTCTCACACTGAACCTTAAAATGGCCCCCATATGGGCTTCCCATGGCCCAACTGGATGAATGAATCCAAACGGATGACTCTGGGCTCTGTGTCTTGCTATGCAACCTTGGACTGTGACTTCACCTCTCTAGGGCTTTGATCCCTCAGCTCTGTCTGCCCCCAGGGGGCTGTTGTGAGGATGCACAGGGACTGCAAGATAGTGAAGGTGCTTTGCACACTGTAAAGTGTGGTCCCCTCTAGAGCGGTTGGTGCTGGTATTATCAACTCCTGGGAAAGGGGCATGAGGGTGTTAGGACCCAGCAGAGGAAAGTAATAAATCCAGACTACACGTGCTTATGTCAGGAACATCTTCACCGTTTATTTGTTTTATGACCTTGCAGACAGGACTTTGCCCCCTCTGAGCCTCAGCTGTCTGATCTGTAAAATGGGAACTTTGTAACAGTACCCACTTCACTGAGTGGTTGGGAACTACATAAATAGGTGCCCCAAAAATCACAACTGATACTGTAACAAAGTTAATCATATTCTTATCCCATGAACAGAGCCTCTTCTCCCTTATCTATTAGAGTCTGTATCATCCACTGGAGAGAAAGAACCATGGGTGGGAAAAGGTCCTGGAGATCTGAAACGAAGATCCGGTTCTGCCATAGACTTGCCGTGTGACCTTGGCCAAGGTCCTTCCCTTCTCTAGGCCTCAGTTTTCCCATATGTCAGATTTGATATTCTCTAACAGCAACCTCCAATAATCTACGATTTTCAATGTCATTCAGAGAAGAAATTTCCAGACCATTGGAGTCTTATTTTGCCTCCTAGGGCAGCCTCGTTTGGGAGTATTTGGAGTAAACAGTCACTAGATTGCATGGGGAAGGTTGTCAAGTCATGAGTGTATTTACTAATGAAATGACAGTCTACACAGTGAGTCTCTGCTCCTATGGCCCTTCCTGCTTCTCCCGAGCATCTCTCCTCCCTCCCGCTCCATCAGCGCATTTACCAGGCAGGGTTTGATAGCACCACACAAACCCAAGGCCAAATGTGTTGCAAAGTGAAATTGCAAACTTTGCCAAAGATGCAGGATGTCATGACCTTGGGGAATGTGAGTGAGAGAAGGGCTGGAATCTCACACAAAGCCATGGATAAATGAGAACCTGGCTGGTGGTCCGTTAGTTACTGCCAGTGGTGGGCCTGGCCCCTGAAAAGATCCATTTGAACATCAAAATGTTAAGACGGTTTCTTGAGAAAAGCAAGGAGGTCCTCAGGAGGCGGGCAAAAATAATCTTCATGATATTGTATGGCTAATCAGGAAACAAAGGACATCACAGCAAGTTTGTTGGAAAAAAAACCTGACAATTTATTCCTTATTCTCACAATTAGCACATCATTTTATAACCAGGATTCATGAAATGTATACTTGTTTTCATGATTTTTGTTTCTCTTCAAGATAATCAAATCTGCTTTACCTTTTTTACGAAGTAATTTTGTAATTTGCATTTGGAATGGAGTCCCTTTAAGTAGCCCTTTCCTGGTGATTTGATAAAGGTTCCTGGGTCCCTGTTGGGAGGGATAGAAGACCTCATGCCCAAGTCGCTGATGGGGTTAGGAGACACCATCTGCTTAGAAGGTTCAGGAATCACAAGTGGTCACAGCTGGGAGGCCTCAGAGATGACTACTTTCTTTGGACAGAGAGGACCACGGTGGGCCAGAGAGGGGCAGGAACTGGGCTGGGGTCATGCCCTGCCTGGGCAGCTCAGACCAGCGTCAGGGAGGGTTGCAAGCAAGGTCCCCTGCCTGAGTGTATTTTGTACTTGTAGGATATCACCTACCTTCGCATCCCGGTGGCTGATACCCCTGAGGTACCCATGTAAGTTCCCCTGGATGGACCCACAGATGGACAGACAGCCGCCTCCTGTGGTGGGCGAAGGGGAGGGGGTTTGAAGGAGGACAAAGTACTCAGGCCAGAAAGTTATCACAGGTGGTCAGCTCAACCAGTCCCAGGTTTGACTCTGTCTCAATCATGCCCTTGTGATATGCCCTTGGCCAAGACTCTCGACCTCCCCGAGCCTCAGTCTCATCAGTATGAAATGGGAAAAAGACACTCTGTACCTTGGGACCAGCTACACCGGCTGATTTGAAAGGGTCACGTTCAGTCTGTTCCTGGCCTTGGGGTTAAGACATCTGGGTTCCAGCCAGGCTTTGCCATTTACTTGCTGTGTGACCTTGAACAAATCACTTCCCCTCTCTGAGCCTCACCAGAGTGCATGATCAGAGTCAAGGAGGCTTTCAAAGATCAGATGACAGAGGTCAAGGATCTAGCATAGGGCCTGAAGTATAACCAAGCTCAGAAAATGGGATTTTTGTTTGTAACATCAGTAGTCATGCGTCCCCGCTTGGGATGGAGCCAGGCAGACAGTCCTGCCCCTTGGGAATCTTGCTCCCAGCCCGCTGCTGCCCGTCATTGTGCCCAGGTGCTCTGATTGCAGACCCCAGAGGAGTGGGACCCTTGTATTTCCTCCCACCCATTTCTTTGAAAGGCCACAATAAACCCATCATGATAACAGGGTCCACAGGAGGAGTGCTCCTGCCTAGATGGTGAGATTGGCCCTGACTGGCCTCTCTCACTGCCTGAAATGCCACCATTCTTGCTTCACACACACACACCTCCAGCTCATGCTAAGTACTGGCCCCTATTCACTGCATGTGCTGGCTGACCTGGGGAACCCAGTGCTCTGTGTCCCTTGCTATCCTGTAATTGGGGTGGGGGTGGAACAACTCCTGAGAGATCTGCTCCACAGTGCTCCCTACCCTATTGCTTTCTCCTCTAGCAAAAAGCACTTCAAAGAATGTATCAACTTCATCCACTGCTGCCGCCTTAATGGGGGGAACTGCCTTGTGCACTGGTGAGTCAAGGTTGGGGGGTAAGGTGGGGGAGGAAGGAAGTGGCTGTGCCCTCTGTTGAACACATACTCATCCTATGGGAAGGTTGAACCTGTGAAGGATCTTCTCCAGCCTGTCACAGTGCCTGAGGGCCCACCATTCATTGGAGAGCGGCCAACCCGGGGCTCTATTCCTTATGAGCTGTGTGGCCATAGCCAAGTAGCTGTTTCTTTCGGAGACTCAATGTCCTCATCTGTAAAATGGGGAAAAGAAAGAAAGCTGACCTGACGGGACTGTTGGGAGGAATAGTGAGGTCATGCAAGTAGTTCACCCTCCAGTAGTTCTGGGCCTCTCTCCTCCCCTCCAGGCCTTGGAGGTGATGGTGCAGGGTAGTGAGGAACCCCAAGCTGGGAGACAAGAATTCTGGGTCTTCCCAGGTGCCCCTCACTCAGTTGATGTCATTCATTCCTTAACTTCTCGCTGAGCGCCCATCCTATCCAGGCTCAGGCTGGCTCTGCTGGAGGCCCAGCAACGAGGCTGGTTTCCCAAGTCTCATCTCCCACCCTCTCCCTCCTTCCCCTTTCCAGCTGTACTAACCTCCTCCCCATCTTCCAAATCTACAAGGCTTATGCCTCATGGTCTTTGTACACACTGCCCACAAGGTTCCTGAGTAACCCTTATCCATCTTTCAAACTTCATTGATGTCTATTCCTTGGGAACCCCTTCTCTAACCCCACTCCACCTATAGATTAATACCTCTTCCTATGTGGATCTCCTAGCCCCCAGACTCATCCTCAAAGCTATTATCACCACCTGGAATTGATTCTCTGATCAATGTCTGTCCCCCCAGCCATACTGTAAGCTCCAGGACAGCAAAGGCCGTGTCTGTTTTATACCCGCTACATTCCCAGTGCCTGAAAAAGAACAGATGCTCAGGACATATTTGTTGACTGAATGAATGGTGTTTCACTCAGGCCTTTGATGTGGGAGAACCCAGGGGGTGCTCTAGGCAGAGGGAACAGCATGGCAAAGGCCTGGAGGTGGGATGGCAAGTCCTGACAGGTCCCTTATGGTTGGAGCTCAGGAGGCAAGGGTGGGAGAGCTGAAGCAGGGTGGGGTGCGTGGGGGGCATGGAGGACACTGGATCTTACTTGAAGCCTGAGGGGTTGTCGGGGATCCCAGCTTTGCAGGCATCTCTCGCAGCACCACGATTGTGACGGCGTATGTGATGACTGTGACGGGGCTAGGCTGGCGGGACGTGCTTGAAGCCATCAAGGCCACCCGGCCCATCGCCAACCCCAACCCAGGCTTTAGGCAGCAGCTTGAAGAGTTTGGCTGGGGCAGTTCCCAGAAGGTAGGGATGGATGGGGTCAAGGGCTGGGTTGGGCCATGGGTGGGAGATCCTTCTTCCCACTCAAACTGATCACTGATTGGAACAAATTTAGCCTGTGCCTCAGACCCGGATTTTTCTAGGGTCTCAAACTCATGGCCTTTGAGCTAATCCAGCTCCTAGGTGTATTTTGTCAGACAGCCAGGTGTTTTCTTTTTCAATGTAGAATTTGAATGCCTTTAGATCAGTGCGGGCCCTCCCATTTGACTAGGTCTTCCAGCACTTCCCACTGCCTGCCCTACCTGGCTGGAACCTGAAGGATTTGAGTGTTTGACCCCATCGGGGAGAACTATGTCCTACTCCACCCCTGTGTCCTTGATGAGACCACAGCAGTTTCCCTCTTATACCTCTTGGGCAGATGCCACGTAGAAATGTCAGGAACTAAGCTTCCCTGGGAACAAAGGATGAGAGGGGGAGGGCTCTCAGCAGGTTGAGGGCGGTACCCAGAGGCTTATCTGCAGGACGGCGTTGGGAAAGAGTCGGGCAAGGAAGAAACCTGTGGGAATGGGGTTGTGAGCACAGAGGTGCAAAGCGGGAGGAGTTACCCAGAAGTGCAAAGAGGGAGGAGTGATCCCGCTGGGCGCCTGGGGTCAATTTAGCAGGTCTGGAAACGGGAGTGTCAAAGGCGGAAGAGGGGTCAGGGAGAGGGAAGGTCCTCCTAGAAGGGAAGAGGAACTCAGTGACGGGATGGAAACCCGGGAGACGGGAGGCAAAGAAGACGCTCAGGAAGGGAGGGGCTCAGCGAGGTATGGGACGCTCGGAGAAGGGCGAAGGTCGGGAGGGTGGGGGCGGGGCCGGCTGCCTTGACCCAGTCCCGCGGCCGGCCTTGACCCCGCCCACCTCACCCGCCCACCCAAGCTTCGCCGGCAACTGGAGGAGCGCTTCGGCGAGAGCCCCTTCCGCGACGAGGAGGAGTTGCGCGCGCTGCTGCCGCTATGCAAGCGCTGCCGGCAGGGCTCTGCGACCTCGGCCTCCTCCACTGGGCCGCACTCCGCAGCTTCCGAGGGAACCCTGCAGCGCCTGGTGCCACGCACGCCCCGGGAAGCCCACCGGCCGCTGCCGCTGCTGGCGCGCGTCAAGCAGACTTTCTCGTGCCTCCCTCGGTGTCTGTCCCGCAAGGGCGGCAAGTGAGGATGCATTCCCGCCGTGGCTCCCCACTTCCTCCCAACTGGCTGCCTTCGGGGGCTGTCGGCGCCTTCCACGCCCCCCAGGATGGGCCCAGAGGCTGGGGGAGCCCCGCGGCGGCCTGAACCCTGCCTCCCTCGCCCACCCTGCTCATCCGCGTCTGCAGTCAGCATCCCCAACCTGTGCGTCTCTGTGTCCGGGCCGGCCGGCTGCAGCCACCTGGTGCCTTAGTCCGTGGGCTGGGGGAGGGGGCCCACCCTTAAAGGCGGCGGGAGGGGAGGGAGGGGGAGTGGAGGGTTGGACGGGCCTGGAGGGTATTAAAGAGACACAGAAGAAGCTGCCTGTCCGAGTGCCTCCCAGTCATTCAACGAAGGCAAGGCAGCACCAGCGGGACTCTGCCAGGGGCCAGCAGCCTGCAGGAAAGGGGATGCGAGGGAGCCTGCATCCCCTGGGGCCTGAGGAGCCCACCACCCTCCCGCAACTGTAGTCTGCGGAGTTGCCTCCTGGGACCGCACCTCCTTCTCTAAAACCTCCCCTCTCCCACCCAACATACATCTCTCCCAAAGCCACCGTGTCCCGCCTGACAAGGCCTGAGTTCCTCCTTATCTCGGAACCTCCTGCCACCTTTTGAATCCCTCTCTTCCACCCTGAGTGGCCACTCCGCTCCCCGACTCCCTTCCCATCCCTGTGCACAAATACTAGCTAGGAAGATAAGGTAGTGCCTCCCTCATCCTGACCTTTTACTGCATGAGTTTACTTAATCCTCAGGGAGGAAACAGAGGCTCAGAGAGATCAGGCAGCTTGCCCGAACACACACAGCCAGAGCAGGGGAAGCTGGACGCTAGCTTAGTCAGTCTGAGTCCCACGATGGCAGGTAGTTAGGAAGTAGCTCCTCTGGTTTGGGAGGTTCCTGACAAGGAGGCTCCACCCCCAGCCAGTGGGAATGACCCTTCCTGCCAAGATTTTAAAGGCCAGGGCTGCCCATCAAAGCAGTAGCTGGCTCTGAGGATGAGTAGAAGTCACTGCAGCTGATATTTCCAAAACTATACCCAAAGTTGAGAGGGATTGAAAATAGCTATAACCCAATAGCCCCTTGTATGGGATTCTTAATATGCACAAACCACTGTGCTCAGGGCTGCCGGGGAGGCACCGATTCCAGCACTGGAGTTGGGGGATGGACAAAATAACCTTCAGCTGCCACCCCAACTTCCTACTCCTCATTCATGCAACAAATGTCCATTGAGTACCTACTGTGTGCCAGCCATTGTGTTCGGCCCTCGGTATATAGCAATGAGCAAAACCTCTGCTTTCAGGTAGCTGCCATTCCGGTCGGGAAGATACCAGATAAAAAATACGCCGGGTGGTGAGGGAGTGGACCATTTGGTTATCTGGGGGAAGCATTCCAGGCAGGCAGAACATTAAGGGAAAGGCCATGAGTTCGTAACCTCCTTGCCAGTAGCCTCCAAAACCAGAAGGAGTTACTTCCTAACTACCTACCGTCATGAGTTAGGGTCTTTCCCTTCACAGTTAATGTGAAGAGCAAAGTGGCTGGACTTACCAGAGTGCAGGGAGCCCACATCCTCCAGGCTGGTTAGTTTAAATGGCAACCAGATGCCCCATTTAAAACACCTTCTATCTCTGATGGTGTCTTCCCCTATTTAAAAGTTTCCATGGAGGCGGAGGCTGCAGTGAGCCAAGATCGCACCACTGCACTCCAGCCTGGGCGACAGAGCGAGACCCTGTTTGGAAAAAAAAAAAGAAGCCTCCATGGCCCCCATCATCTATAGGACTGATCTGATGTTCCAGATCAATCCTTCCAGATGCTTCAAGAGCCAGGCGGCTACTGGAATATGGGGCTGGAGGAAAGGAGGAGCACGAAGAAAGCCCTCCTAGCAGGTACACATCAGGAACAATGCTTCCAGTCTCTGGTCAATGCTGGCCAGGTGCCCAGCTCTGTGCCCACTGCTGTGCAGAGGGGCAGGGAGTGAGGGGCGTTCTCTCTCAGAGCCTCAGTTCCATGAATACAGCAAGGAATGGAGCAATCTGAGCAACTTGATCTCTTTCATATCCCACATCTCCTTTGACAATTTAATGAAAGATGCAAACCCCAGAAAAAAATGCATAGACATGAAATTTACATTCACTTTTGGGGGTCAGAGACCCCCACCAAGAATCCACGAAGTGCAGGTGTAGCTGTCGGCAGGCAGTGTGGGGCACACATTTTGGCTCCTGGCTGCACTACCCACTAGTCCTGTGACCTTGTTAGAGGGTTTAACCTCTCTGAGCTCAGTCTTAACATTAAAACAGGGCATTATACCAACCTCATAAGCTGTTGTGAGAACCAATTGAGACACTGCGGGAAAGTGTTTAGTCAGGCCCAGCACTGTGATGAGCAATCAGTCAGTGGGAACTCCTAATATTTACGGAAATAAGTGTGACCCCCGGACCACCTGCATCAGAACCTCATGGGGGAACTCATTACAATGTGGGTTTCCTGGGCTTCCTGCCCAGAAAGTCTGATTCTGCAGGTCTGGGATGGAGGTCATGAGTGTGCATTTGAAACAAGTTGCTACCTCTCAGTTCTGGCAGGAGTTAGTTTGAGAAGCCCTTGCCTTTCCAACCTCGACAGTCCAGGTCCTGGAAAGAGACTGACAAGTTTGCAGGTGGGCTGGGAAGAGCAGGTGACAGTTGTAGGGTGGGGCAAAGCTGTGTCTCTGGAAGCTAGTGGGGGCCCGCCTCCTGGGACCTGCAGAGCCCAGGCTACCCAAGTTGAGTGGGTCTTGTGACCCACAGCGGCTCCTGCCGTCCCATAAAAGAGGATCAACGCCCTCCAGGCTAGGCTGCTATGGGGAGAGGCAAAAGGAAAGGGCATCCCAGGAGAGGGGACAAAAGACAAAGTGAAACCTGCCCACCCAGACTTTCACTTTCATAGCCTCCAAGCATCATCCAGGTGGCCCGTAGTCCCCAGGCCCACGTGGATCCAGCCACTGCGAGCCCAAGACCTGGCCCCCTGAGCACTGCATCCCTGATGGCCAGAAGGAAGGAAAGGTCCCCGATGGCAGGTGACCCATGGCAGAGCCAGAGGTCCCCTGCGCCTCTGGGACTGGGGTGGCGCAGATTGAGAGTGGATGCTACATGGGGTTACGCTGGGAGGATGTGGACAAGACTCTCTTTTGCATCCCCTGGAAGCACATAGCCAAGCAGGGCTACCAGGCGCAGCAGGACTCAGCACTCTTCAAGGTAAGGGGACAGGGGACTGGAGACGCTCAGCACTGGGCAGGTTCTGGACACAAGTGGCCCCGGTACTGGGACTGACCAATAGCTGTGTGACCCTGGGCCACTCTCTGGCCTCTAGGACTGAGGGTAATCTTCTCTACATATAAGAGACCCTCGGACACTCTCTTATAACAATCAGTCAAGGCTGCCACAACCTGCACCACCTTTCCCTCTCAGAGGACCTCTTCTCCCACTCCACCAATGCACTCATGGGAATTCCCTCAGCCTCCCACCCCCAAACCCACCAACCTCTGCAGCTCAGGAACCTTTTTGGTGCTCCCAACACCAGCCCTTCTCAGGGACCTCCTGCAGGAATGTCCTCCCTTTCCCCAGTCGTCATTAACTTCTTCCAAACTGGCTCCTTTCTTGAGAAAGAGATGGTTAAGCTGAGGATGGTGGGAGCTTGCCAGGTAAAGGTGAAGAGGAGAAGGTGTTGCAGGCAAAGGGAACCACATGTGCAAAGATCTAATGGTGATAAAGACATGAAGCATTTAGAGACAAAAACTACTAAACTGGGGGAGGAGAGGGAGTGGAGGCAGATGAGGCCCGGGAAGGGCAGTTCATGCATGGCTTTGCAACCATGACGAAGAGTTGGAACTCTTTCACAAGGGTAATGGGGAGCTATGGTAGGGGAGGGTCAAAACCAGATTTATGGCCAGGAGCTGTGCGTCAACTGTAATCCTACCACTTTGGGAGGTCAAGGCAGGAGGATCACTTGAGCCCAAGAGTTCGAGACCAACCTGGGCAACATAGTGAGAGCTCATCTATAGAGAAGAGAAAAAACAAAAAAGACCAGATTTGCATTTAGAAAGATCCCCCTGGAGGACCTTCTGGCATTGTGGAGGGACAGTTGCCGTCATTTCAATTCTGGGCTGTCTTCCCTGAGCAATAAGCAACCAACCACACATCCACACACCCCCGCCCCCCCAAAACACCAAAGTCACCTCCAGCCCCTCCTTCTGTGGCCTCCCCCTCTTTCCACAGTGGGAAGCACCTGGAGAGCCTCCTCACACCAACTCCCTCCCTCTCAGCCTCCCAGCCCCCCATGACCAGTCTGGCTTCTGTCCCTCTTGATAATGCCTAAGTTGCCAAATCCAAGCATATGTCACTGTCTTCATCTTCTTTGGCTCCTGGATGGGTCTGGGTGGGTCTGCATCTCGTAGGCCCTCCCTCCTCCTTGAAACACTCTCACTTGGCTTCCAGAATCTCTGCTGCCTGCCCTGCAACTCCTCCCAGGCCTTTGCTTCTCAGCCTCCATCCTGTCCCCTCCTCTGCTGGGGCTCCCAGCACTCACTTCTGAACCTACTTCCTCATGTCCCACTTTCCCCTTCCATGGCCTCAGCATGGTGGCTCCAGGTCTTCCTCTGAACCCCAAGTCTGCTCATCAAGCTGCCTGCTGGGCGCTGTCTCCTGGATGGCCCCCAAGCACCTCAAACTCAACACACCCAAACATCACACTCATCAGCTCAGCCCTACATACTTCTGCCATCTGGGTACCTGAACCCTGGCCACTCCCCACCTTCCAGCCTAATTCTACTCCATTACCAAGGCCTGCCGGCTCTCCCCACAGAACATCTCTTCAGTCGATCTGCTGGAACCCATTTCTGTCAGCTCTCACGGGACAGCTGCAGTGACCTCCCAGGGCTTCCTGCTTCCCCCATCCCTCAGCAATCCCTGCAGTCCTCAAGAGGGATCTTCCTAAATGCAAATCTGGCCTCAATTCTCCCATACTCAGAATCCTTCCATAGCTCCCCATTGCCCTTGTGAAGGAGTCCCAACTCCTCACTATGCCCTCAAAGCCGTGCATGAACTGCCCCTCCCTGGCCTCATCTGTCTCCACTCCCTCCCATCCCTGACTGTAGCTCGTTTCATTTCTAAATGTTTCATGTCTTTATCACCGTTAAACCTTTGCACATATGATTCCCTTTGCCTGCAATGCCTTCTCCTCTTCACTTTTACCTGGTCAGCTCCCACCATCCTCAGCTTAACCATCTCTTCCTCAAGAGAGCCTTCCCCGGGAGGTGAGGAATAAAATACTACAAATTTGGTTCAGTGTATACAGTTTGGGTGATGGGCGCACCAAAATCTCACAAATCACCTCTAAAGAACTTACTCATGTAACCAAGTATCACCTGTTCCCCAAAATCTATGGAAATAAAAAAAATTTTTTTAAAGAGCGTTCCCTGATGCATTCATTTATTTAATGCATTTATTAAGCTCCAACTCAGTGCTTCTTTCAAGTCATCACTGACTCCAAAGGTGCAGGCTCATTGAACAACTTTCCCTATGAATTTTAAGTGACTGCTGTGAATTTGTGTTCTCTAGCAGACCATGAGCTGCTTGAGGGCAGTGTCATCAAGCACTGTGCCTGGCACATAGTAGGTGCTCAATAAGTGTTGAATGGGTGGTTGCATGGCCTGTCCCTTAAGACTTACATGCTGTTGTTCAAAGGCAAGAGATTCTGGGGTCTGGCCTCCCCATCCTTCTGGCTGCTCTGACCCATCCCTCAATCCACCACTGTCATACACATGACTCCTTAGCTTCAAACCCTTCTGGTGCCCAAAACTCATGGAATAAAGCTTGGCCTTCAAGGACATTCATGATCTAGCTTCAGCCTATCTCTTCCTCCTTAATTTCTCTTGCTCTTTCCCCCACCACACACAGTCGACCCTCATTATTCATGGATCACATAGTTGCAAATTATCCTATTTGCTATAATTTATTTGTAATCCCCAAAGCAACACTTGCGTCACTTTCATGGCCATTCATGGATGTGTGCAGAATGGCAAAAAAGGTAAGTCGCCCCCCCCAACCACCCAGGAACATTTGAAGCTCAGGTCAAACAAGGCAATTCTCTGCCTTCTTATTTCAGCTCTCATACTGTAAACAAGTGTCCTTTTTACAGTCTATTTCCACATTTTTTATGTTTTTGTGCTTTTTTGTTGGTAATTTAAAATGGCCCCCAAGCATAAGGTTGAAGTGTGGTCTAGTGTTCCTGAGTGCAAGAAAGCTGTCATGTACCTTCTATGGAAAATACAAGTCAGATAAGCTTCATTCAGACATGAGGTTTAGAGCTGTTGGTTGTGAGTTCAGTGTTAATAAATCAGCATCATATTAAATAAAGTTCCTCAAACAGAAACACACAGAAAACAAGGTTATGTGTTGGTTGGTTGATGAAAATGGTGTGACCAGAAGCTGGCAGGAACCTAGCCCTGTATTTCCCCCAGGAGCAATGGTTCGTTAGTCCCTAATTTAGTGTTTATGGGAACTTTATAGAACACAACTAACTCCCTCAAATAACGAGAGTCGACTGTACCCTCAGACACACACACCCAGCAAGGGCAACACCAGGCTGCTCACTGACCCCGGAGTGCACCATGCCTTCCACACCTCCAGGACTTTGCTCAAGCTCTTCCCTCTTCCAAAAATGTCACTCCATCTCTCAACTTCCTACTCACCCTTCAAGGCCAGCTCAATGCATCCAACAAATACATACTGAGGGTCTCCTGTGTGCCAGGGACCATTCTAGTCACTTGGAGACCACAGCCATGAACAAAAACAATACTCCTCTAGTCATGGTGACAGCACCCTCTGCCCTATGCACATGTCATCTTCATGTTATTCTTAATATAATAAGTGTCATGATAAATAGCACTGTGTGCCAAGCACTTATCTAAGCACTTTATATGCACCAGCTCATCTTATACCTACCCCAACCTCATGAGGTTAGGTGGTATTGACACCTACAGACATTTACAGACAACGAAATTAAACCTCAAAAAGTCTCACCCCTAGCACCCACAAGGACCTGTGGCTTTTCTGTTTTGGTGTCCATGTTTCCCACAAGACCTGGAGTCTCTGAGGACAATGATTGAGTGCAATTCATCCGTTAAATCCCCCTCAGTGCTGAACGAGAGAAATGTAGCAATACATCTCCTGATGGCCTCCTCTTTGATCACACTGGCCTTGCCTGAATTATCCATCTCTTTTTCACTGCAGGCCCTTTGCCTTTGCTGCTCCTTTTACTGGAACACCTTTCCCCGG